GAGAGAGAGAGAGAGAGAGAGAGAGAGAGAGAGAGAGAGAGAGAGAGAGAGAGAGAGAGAGAGAGAGAGAGAGAGAGAGAGAGAGAGAGACACCCACCAATCATGAAAGTGTTAGCATCTGATGTGTTCCAGGACCAGACGCGGCATCACCGATGTTCTACAATCTGACGACCGCCTCAGCCAGTATGTCGGATAACAGTCCGTGAGAGTCGGAGCCAGCAGTAAAGACTTCCCCTTCGTTTCTTTCTACCCCCTTTCTTCTCCATGCACCAATATATACCCTTATATACAACCTCACATGGAGACAATAAGGGACAGCAAACGATAACATCCTGCCCGCAGGATGTCGCGTGCTGTGACATCATCTTACGATATCCAAGAAACTTTTGCAAGACGACATGCACGAGGCTACCGATCATACATTCATCGAAGCGATCAAGTCTTGAATGCGATCTATTTCACAATTGCTCTACCCAAAACCTACACCACACACCATCAACAAGCTGCAACCGCTTTCGGAACAACGCTTGGCAGATTGCGGCATCAAGAAGGTTATTTCAGCAACAGGAAAGTACCGACTGATCAAGGATCAGTTCTAAACTTCTAGCTTCTGCTAACTTCTTAGTGATACAGCCACGGTCATCATCGTTACAGTGCTGGCGATCTCGGCAGCAATCAACTAAGGTTCTCGCAGCCGTACGAGGGGTTATGGGTTCGATTCCCGTTATCCGGGGGGAAGAGGTTATGGGTTCGATTCCCGATATCCGGGGGGAAGAGGTTATGGGTTCGATTCCCGATATCCGGGGGTGAGATTCGACAGGGAAAAGAAGATGCAAGAAATGTGGAGGAGCCCATCAATGTTGACGATACAAATGTCCGGTCGTTGACAAGGCAAGGGAGAATCCAGTCAGGACAAGACCAAAAGGCAGCCAAATCAGGAGAAGAGCCAATCAGACCGAGAGGTCAAGGTAAAAAAGAAAATAACACAAGGACAAGAGAATAGCCAGAGAATAGCCAGAAAATAGCCAGATGATAGCCAGAAAATAGCTATCCTGATAGCTACTTACCGTGGGGTAGCCATTGGGAAAGTAGGTTTTGTGCCTGTTGATGGCCAGCCGTCATGACTCATGGCTGATGACGGTATTTTAAAGCACCAGTACCTTTTGCCGTAAGGCTGCTGTAGGGTACTGACGTACGCTTTTACGCTGACAAGACATGCTCCCTAGGAGACAGCTATTGAGAATAGCCCTCGGTCCTCCGGGAGAATCACTCGTTTTTGCGCCGACGGCCTTTGATTGGCATAATTATGAGTGTACTCAGAGACCGACAAGAGCCACTTCTAACCACACCAGGTTCTCCCATAATAATACAGTACAACGCATGCCCACCTCTTGTCATTGAACAGCAAGTTTCTTCATCCCGAAGCAATGACGCATCAAGGAGTTGATACTGTATGCCCACCTCTTCTGATGGGAGAGGGATTTTCCACCCAGAGGAAAGCCAGGCCCGAAGGAGCTGAACGGGCCAGGCGAGACAATCGCCGTACAGGTACCGGTTGGATTTACCGTAACTGCCCACTGCCCACTCCTGTACAGCCCATTTATGAGCCCAGTCGCAAGTCCGAGGCGAAGTTGAAGTCAAAACGACTGTCGAATGCAAGCAAGCCTCTGAAATGGACATTAAATCATGACAGGGCCACATGTCCTTTTTTTGTTTTGTTTTGGACATTGAATCATGAGAGGGCCAAGCTAGCGTTCACCAACTGCCGTTTCCCAGCTCGCAGCCACACAGTCAAACAACAGTCAAACTTTAGGCTCTGACTGCTGGGTCAAAATGGACATGGAATCTTGACAGGCAGAGATAACACTGCAGACTAAGATCCGGTCCAGAAAATCGCGGTCTGTGTATGCCTTACACCGTTAAGCCGTTAGTACCTCCCCACCACTAACGGCTTTTTCCGATGCGCATTTCATTTTTGCCCAACCCTCACATCCCAAAGACTCGTTTTGACAAGGCCTACCAAGCTCCACCGGCATCAACCGGTGGGTGAGCACACGGTAGCTGGGATGGGTACTGGCGGTTTAAGGGTCTGCTTCTCCGTCTGTCAAATCCTGTTCGCTCGTTTGGAGGTAGCTGAAGACCAAGAGGTGGCGGGGGATCCTTCGGCGCACACCGACTGCCCCTCCTGCCTCCCACCCATCCTGCTGCCATTAAGAAGTTTGTCTTGTTCACGCAGAAGGTAGTCTATCAACGCCTCCGTCCGATGTGTCCCCATTCGTAGAGAATGTGATAGCCCTCCCTCCGTCCGATCCATACCAAATGGTCTTCCCCTCCCTCGTCTTAGATGGGTCACCAACTCCTCCGCGTCAACTCTGATGACGTCATCACGAACCCCAACGTCAACGGTATACCGACCCCAGAGGTACAATCCGACGGCTACGGCGACTGCTCCCAGCGGGTTTGCGGTAAGCAGTCTGCCGGATGCTGACATGAGCGCTGACGCAGGAATGAGACCCGCAGAAGCCGCCTGGCTGCTTCTGCCCAGCTCCGACTTTGTCATCAGCAAGCCAGTTTTGCAGTAGATCGCAAAATCTTCACAGTTGTTGCTAAACACATCGTAATCGCCAAATCCATGTTCCAACAGGTACCGCGCTCTTTCCAGGACTTCCGCTGGGTTATCTGTGGTGGCCATGGTGCAAGTGCCCCCTCTCACCTTCGCTAAGAAAGTCAACGGTTTGACCCCGTACTTGAATCTATACAAGTTTCTGCCGTCGAGAAAACACAACAAACAGGTCTCGATTACGCCGTTCCCTCCCTCGATTCTCGACCTGAAAGCTGCGTTGCAGGCTGCGCACGGCTCATGATCTGACACAGGTGGCTTCGACGATATGCCCCGAAGAAAAGACCAAGCGCCGCGGAACGCCACCTCCTCTTTCCCATTGGTGAAATGAAGTACCCTGCCATCTCCGGCGTAAATTCCATGATGCGCATACATGTATCCTTTCCTCCATGAGTAGATGTGATCCCCAGGAACCAGATCGGCCTTGCTTACCCGATTTGACCATAGCCTCCAGGTCGCATCGATTGCCTGAGCCACCGTCGTCATACCCACTTATGTCTCCTTGGAAATCTGCTGCTGCTGCTCTTAATTACCTTGCCAATATCCCTTCTCCTCTGTCTGCCAGTCCTCCCAGTCTCAGACCCTAGTACAAAACAAATCGTCTCCGATCTTGTCAGTGGGATGCTGGACCCGGTTTCCAGCAGGTGATGCTCCCCACCAATAGATTGGAGCCATCTATAATCTAGCGCTTGCTATTGGAGGATGCTCGTATCACCTCCGATAGCAGGCTGCCACAGATGTTTGCTTTAAATAAAAAATAAAATAAAATAAAATAAATAATAATAATAATAATAATAATAATAATAATAATAATAATAATAAAAATAAAAATAAAAAACAAATCGTTACGAGAACCCGGGGTAGTGAAAAGAAATGAGGCAAGGCTCGGGAGTCGGTACACAACCCCTTTTCTTTTTTTCATGGCCATGTCAATCTGTTCTGTGCAGGGGTCAACCATTGAAGTGCAGGTCCATTTCCCAAAAAAAAAGGAGAGAGGAAAGGACGGACATAAAGAGAAAAAGGGAAAAAAGGGGGTTTCGCCGCTGGGATTTGATTAACGGGGCTGCTCTTATCACCTCGTTAATCAGATCCCTGCGACTGAAGTTTCACGGGGGAAAAAAAAGGAAAAAAGGGGGTTGAGGGAAGCAGGGAAGAAACGAGAGAGAAGCATGGAAGCATCTCCTACATCCTTCTCCCCCCCCTCCCCCCCCCCTTGCTCAGCAATCTAGACCACACCGCTAACTGGATTCATAAAGCCTATTTCCATTACTTGCAGTGCACCCTGAGTGCAGCAAATGTTCAGATGAGAAAGAAAGCTCACAGCAGCGCATTGGTGCGCCGTACATGATGCACACTCACCAGAAAATTCCACAAGCAAATTCAAAGAAATCCCAGAAACAAGGTATGTGCACCGCCCCATTAGGTGCGCGCTGATTCTAAAAAACAACAACGGGTAGGCCAAGCCAGGCTGGAGCGTCCCGAAAAAAAATATATATATATCGTCACAAACAGAACTGCCCGGTAAAACCGTAGGCAGAGAGAGAGAAGAGGACAACAAACGAGGGGCTGTGACAAACTGTTTCGTCGGAGTTTCATATATACATATATCGTCAAATATATATATATATATATATATATATATATATATATAGTTCTATTTGTGACGATATATATATATATATATCGTCACAAATAGAACTGCCCGGTAAACCGTAGGCAGAGAGAGAGAAGAGGACAACAAACGAGGGGCTGTGACATATATATATATATATATATATCGTCAAATAGAACTGCCCGGTAAACCGTAGGCAGAGAGGGAGAAGAGGACAACAAAGGAGGGGCTGTGACAGACTGTTTCGTCGGAGTTTCACCGACTCATCAGGAGGCTGAACCATATATATATATCGTCAAATAGAACTATATATATATCGTCACAAACAGAACTGCCCGGTAAAACCGTAGGCAGAGAGAGAGAAGAGGACAACAAACGAGGTATATATATATATATATCGTCACAAATAGAACTGCCCGGTAAACCGTAGGCAGAGAGAGAGAAGAGGACAACAAACGAGGGGCTATATATATATATCGTATATCGTCATATATATATATATATATATATCGTCACAAACAGAACTGCCCGGTAAACCGTAGGCAGAGAGAGAGAAGAGGACAACAAACGAGGGGCTGTGACAAACTGTTTCGCCCTTTGGTGATCATTTCCAACAGCAAACCCTATATCCAGATCAGGGATCTGGGTATGGGTGTAGGGCTTTGCGTAATGCACGGGTGCATCCCTACATGCTATATATTTACAAAATCAGGAAACAAAGTCTATATATAATATATTGCAATAAAACCGACAAACATCTACAAGGCCTATAAATAGTGTGAAGCGGGCAGAAGAACAAGGGAAGAAGTATCAGGCATGTGGATTGCAGGAAGATTCTCCCAAAGAGGAATGCACATTCGATGCAGACACACCGATTGCAGGTCGATACTCCCAAACAGGAATGCAGACACAGTGCTTGATATGGCATACACGATACAAAAACAACATGTGAATAACTGCATTCACACGAGCCCATTGATGAACGAACGTAAGCAACATGACTAATTCATGATGAAACTCACAAAGACAAGGCAATAAAAAGAACTGATGATATGATGAAAGTTATGAAACCATCAGTCATGCACGAAGCAGTTGCTACTTCTGAAGTCTTTTGCCTATGTCTGGTGACAACAATCCAATCCGGGCATGAGAAATAGAACGAAATATTCAAAATCGGGGAGAAAACATGGCGAGCTTGAGTTGGGAAGCATGGGGCATCCTCCCATCACATCACATTCAGAATGCTGTCACATTCACAATGGAAACAGGCTGTATTTGTGCTCGTGCAGGAGGGAAGATTACAAGGTGCTACACACACGCACACACGCACACACACACACACACACACACACACATCGTCGATGGAGTAATGTCTGTGAGTAGCCACAAGTTTTTTTCTGGGGTGGGAGTTTGGGGTTTTGGCCACAATATCTCCGTAAGGAGGATCAGAGAGTGTTTGCTGTGGGTGTCATTCCTGCGGGATGCTCTTTCTGAGCATATGGAAGAATGGGGTAGCCTCTAGGGTGCTTTAAGCAGTACCGCTCCTGGTGTCGCGTGGAGATCTTGTGGAATTTGGCATAGTACTTGCAGTGGCCTCGCTGTAGCGCTAGAACATCATCCGATTCTGCAGGTTGTGCAGCAGGGGGAGGCTCAAGGCACTCTTGGTGTTGCGTGCAGGTCCTGTGGTGTAGTTTTGATTTGTGGTGGCGTTGTAGGTCGTCACAGAGGACTCTAAAACTTTTTTAGACCATTGGCATGTGTGGTCAGTGGTTTTTTGTTGGTGGAGTGTGGGCCGACATGGAGGGCTCTCCAAGTTTTTCTGGACCTATGGAGGATGGGGTCGGTGCTTTCTTGCTGGTGGAGTCCTCTGTCTTAGGTAAGTTGCTTCTTGCCCTCCACCCTTTTATGGATCAAATAAATATATGTATATATGTAGTATGTACATGTGCAAGTGTGCCGCTTCGGCGACAGATGGGTGTGTGGGCACTTGGTGCTGAACCACACAAACGTGGCCAACCTTGTATTTTCTATTATTTCGTCTTATCTATACCTTTTTCTTATGGATGGTTTGTTATGATTTGTGGTGGAAATAAGAGAGAATATGGGGTACTTTAACAACACACACACACACACACACACACACACACACACACACACACACACACACAGAGAGAGAGAGAGAGAGAGAGAGAGAGAGAGAGAGANAGAGAGAGAGAGAGAGAGAGAGAGAGAGAGAGAGAGAGAGAGAGAGAGAGAGAGAGAGAGAGAGAGAGAGAGAGAGCTCACGATTATCCCCCTCCTCGCATCAATGATCTTTCGAGCAGTTGAGGCGAGCGGGCTATTTTTCTATTAGATCTGAATTCAGGCTACTATCAGATTGACAGATCTGCCCGTAAGACCGGTACAAGTCCCTGTTCAAGACACACTATGGGTGTTTCAAACGCGTGGTGATTCCATTAGATGTCACCAATGCCTCGAGTAATTGTCAGGCCGAAATGACTACTAAGCTCCATGTAATGTTAGATCAGTCGTCCTCAATTACACAGATGATATTTTGGTCTACAGCCAGGCACTAAAGGAGCATTTGCAGCATTTTTTGTGTCGCTTCAACAGACTTTGCCAGGCCAAGTACAAGGCAAACCAAGACAAGTGCAAGTTTGCACACCAAGAACTCAGGGAAGGCCATTATATGCGAACGTTTTCGAGCTCTGTGGTTAGCGCACCGGTTGGGAAATGCGCATTGTGGTCTGAGGTTGCCGATTCGAAACTCCGCGCCCCCGAGCACGAATGCTGGCAGAGTACACATCATGCACAGCCATTTACACACACCCCTTCGGCTGACGCACGGAAGGACTACAGACACTGCCAGCACACCACCCAAGGGGTTAGTCAGTCCACGGTTGTTGCACGCGGGGATCTGGGTTATGGGAGGTTTGCCTGATGTTCTTGGTTCATGGACTGTTCCGATGATTGCACTTGTCCCCTGGTCTAATATAGTGCACAAAACAGACTAGTTGTTAGTGTAGCTCAGTGGGTTTGGGCTATGGGCTATTGGAAGAGGTTGAGGGTTCGAATTGGATCGCACGGGGCAGATTATATTTGTACAGAGGTGCCTGGGATGTGGGCAAGGATATTGTGGAGGGCTAGATCATGCGAGTTGGTTACCTTAGGGCTCTGCTTTGGGGGGTCAGGGCTGCAGGTGGGATGAATAGGGGGGTCCCGTTAGTGGGGAGATTAGGTAGGAAAGCCCTGAAGTAGGGCCTCCCTGGGGGATAACACCAAAATAACCCCGCTTGATAGAGGTTCCCAGCACGTGCTGCTCCCCACGAATAGACTGGAACAATTGTCCTAAAAAAAAAAAATAATAATAATAATAAAAATGACAAGGTGACTAGAGAGGAGTCTAGGGGGATGTTTATATGTAGCAGGGCAGATGGTGGCCATACATCTACTGATAATAGGCTAGAACATCTAGGTCACAATTATGACAACCACAACGACCAGAATAACAACAGCACAACCACATCAACGTGACTAGAGAGGGATCTAAGGGGATGTCTATATGTAGAAGGGAGGATGGTGACTATACATCTACCGATAATAGGCTAGAGCCTCTGGGTCACAATTACAGCAGTACATATAATGAGCAATACAACAACTTGGGGGGCGGGGATAGGAATGGGCCCACCTAAGCGCTAGAAGTACCCGTACGACAGGGCTTCGACGACCGTGCCTCAATCAGAGCTGAGCAGGGTAGTTCCTGCTTAGCCCTGGTGCCTACAACCAGTTTCTGCTCGGGTCACCCCGAGTGGTAGACGCTGAGGTAGCATTGTGGGAACAGCGGTACATATAATGAGCAATATAACGACTTGAGGGCGGGGATAGGGATGACTCCACCTAAGCGCTAGAAGTACCCGTACGACAGGGCTTCAACGACCGTGCCTCAATCAGAGCTGAGCTGG